TAAATCGCCAAAAATGAGATGTCTGTTAAGTCACAAAGTCTTCGAATGACCCAATTCTGGTAAGCTTGTGGTAAATTCGGAAGGCCGGTCCTGCGGACAAATTCCACTACGGTTGGCAACCCTGCACCGGAGTGCATTCCTCAATGGGCAAACAATACACACGACCTAACAAACTCAAACTAGTCGCATGGTGGCATGCCAAGCCACGGCGATGGCTGTTGCTTGGTTCGCTTTAACATCGGTATAATACCATTCGAAAATTTCTCGATTTCGTGTTAAAAAAAAGCATCTACTTTCTATTTAGTCGAATTATTTTTATAGCGCTTTTACCGTCATTGTAAACGCGCTGGCATAGTTTGAATGTGCTAAAATCCAAGAAACGCGAATTCTTGAATGCTTAATTCCTGTTTATTCTCGCAAAAAAAAAACAAACAGATTCCGATAGCACGCAAGACGGTTTTCATTAAATTTATAATCAACACTTACGAACTAATTTACTCTGGAATGCTGCAAGGAAACGTGTATGAGCTGCATTGATTCGATAAACACAGATATTACATTAAATTCAATCGACGAGTATAAATATGCGGTCTTGCCATTCATACAAGTATCAAAAAATTAATGTTCTATTTACGTTTTCAAATCTAGATAAATCCATTAATGCTTCCATGAATTTCCTACACAAAATTTCAATCTATAAGATTACTTATTAAATACTTTTTGCATTTATGTGTATTAAATTGGGTTATTCAAATAAAAATTAATTAAAGGAGAAACATATAGTTGCAGGTAACAATAGCAACTTGATTGATCGATTTGGCTAATAGAAAACTTTACTTAGAACCAAAGTAATTAAATTAATATCGACAGAATTACACGTCGAAGAAAAACAAGGCATTTAATGGAGTTTATATCAATTTACTTGCATTATAATTATCGCAGTTCGACACCTCAGCCGGCGCCGCATGTGCATTATTGTAAACTAGCAGTTTTTATTTAAACTTTTTTTTTGTACTTACATAATCGTTTACACGCTATTTTAAAGCGAAGGTTTCTCGACGGAACATTTCGAATTTTAGATACTTAATGGTGTTTAACTGCGCCGAAACGCCGTTTCCAAGGGCGCTTCTGCTTCGAGGTATTCGCAAGAACAATCACTCGTAAAAATAGACAAGAAAATCGCAATTCCGAATGGGATATTCAAATAATGTTGGAAATACTTAACACTATGTGTAGGTAAAGACAATTCGAAATTAATACCTTTCTATTACACTGTGAGATCATGGAAAAGTCTAAATGGAAGATGAGGAAAATCTTACAATTCTTATGGATTTAGCAAAATTCTAATAAAAGTTACAGAATTCCCTTATTCAAATGACATTAGAATGACGGCAGTAGTTCGATTGATATTGTTAAAGTTCATAAGTTTAATAAAATGGTTGAAAGTTTTTATTATAAACGATAAAATGGAACAAACGCAATAAGATTAAATTGCAAACAGTTCCATTTAAAAATCAGCTGGCAAACAAAAACACAAGCCTTCCGTGTGTATTGAGTTGCCTATATTTAGTGTTACAAGCCGTGAAAGGAAAACTTGTTGATTCTGTTTGGTGTAAATCAACCAACCAGCTCTTTTTTTGTATGAAATTTCCTTCTTAAATAGATCTAAAAAGGTGAATAAAGCTCTTGAATTTTATTGATTATTATTTTCTATAGGAATTGGTGCAAACATGAAACTTTTATAAGGGTCTTTTCAAGTTATGAATGTAAGTTAAAGAGTATTGGGAAAATTGAAATAACGCGAACTTTGGATGAATTAGAAAAATTTTGTAAATAAGTTAATCATTTGCACCGTGTGAAAACGCCCAGAGAAAAAGTAAAATGATTTTTTTTTAATTAAGAGGAAGACAAAAAAATGAATAAAACAATCAAGTTTTATTAAAAGTGCATAACTGAAGCTTTAAAATATTAACCTTTGAAGTAACAATAATGTTAGTGATTCTGACCTTATCTGCTGATTTATACTATTTGACGCGCCAATTAAAAACCGATCATAAAAGCTCATAAAGCAACATTTTATTGTATATAAAAACCATCAAGCTAACTAAAATGTTAATAAAAAATATCAACTAATATCATTAAACGGAATTGCCTGAGGCGCCTCAAAACGCCATTACTCAATTAGGTTTTCCCTATTTTCCACCAAAACGTCAAAAACTTTCTCGACCTCCTGCCAGCTCTTCGGGTTAGACAGCAGCTCCAGGACCTTCCCTAATCGAACGCCTGACCCAATTCCGCGAGTTAAATTTAGCAAAACAGTTGTCACGAGCGATAAATTACTGTGAGAACAAAAAACGAATGAACTGTCTGTACATGTCGCTGCGTAGTCTGCGAACTGGGAAACCTCCAGTGCGATAATTCCAAAACGAAATAATAAAAGAAACCATTTCATTTCGCCGCAGGTAAGAGCAGACCGAGTGCATCGCCGCAGGAGAATCGCATTACTAATAAACAGCCGGGGTCGGGATCTATCGCAGGTGAATTCGATTGTGAGATACAGGAATTCGTTAGCCGCTGAACTATAATATGTATATGCCGGCTGCGGCAGATACATCATTATTATTTCACGTTTCCGGCCGGCGATATATTTTCGAATGGTTTCCTGATCTCGTGCGAAAGTCTAATTGGGCCGATCATTCGCGCGATGTGGGCCGAATTTTCACTTGCCGATAATAAATTAGGCGCGGAAAATGGAAAAATTCGAACGGGCGACGCTCGAAGGAATTAATTTACAGTTCGGTCTAATTTCGGATGGTTTGGATAGAAGTCTGACAGCGCCAGACTTTCTGGAATCCCGATTGCTATCATAAAAAAATTGTTTTATATCCGTGTTGTAACATTTTCACGACAAAAACTTCTTCGAAACGTTTATTTAAAGTTAAATTTAGTTGGTAAAAGTAATAAGAAATCAAAACAATTAAATGAGGAAATAAAGAAACAGGTGCAAATTTAGATCAACAAGATGATGGCTTGAAGAAAGGAAATAATAAAGAGTTACTATATATTATATACAATTATAATCAAAATTTTTTTTTCTAAACCTTTCCAAAGTAAGTACCCTTTTTATCCAGTTTCCATTCCACTTAATTTAAGAACATACTTTTATTAAGTGTTCTTATCCACTAATAATTCTCCTGACTTCTGATATAGCTCTTTCTTTAATTCTCTATTCCTTTATTACCCTATCACTAATGATGGACACCGGTGACATAAATGAAACGAAACAGTTCAATAATGCATAAAAATTTATTATGTAAACTTACGATTAAGTTTTCTATCACAGCAGTAGTTGGTTGTTAAGTTACTATTAAATCTAAACTGGAATCTAAACATTTCGCTTATGAGATCAAGACAAAGCGAAATGTTTATGTATGTACACGAAAAATATAGAATAGATCACAATTGACAACTGGTGTGTTTCTCTTCATATTTTAAATAGTGAATTCGCTGTTAAAAGACTTGGAATTTAGCAGCATCGGTATCGTTTTGGTTTCCTAACGATAATTGACTAATTTGTTAGTTTTTAAATTTTGATATGTGTTTACAACACGATAAAATAAAAAAGGAATGATTTTAATGTATCGTTTGCTTACTAAATTTTAGTCTTTTCAACACTACGTTAAATTAACACTACAGAAAAAATAAGTACTTACTGAATAGGTACATAAATATATTTGGTAGAATGTTTTGAATAGGAAACAATGCAAAGTAAGAATGTAATGTAGTTACTTACAAATACACAGAGTAATTTCAATTATCTATTACAACTTTAGTAAGTCTAAATCAAATTTAATTTAACTAAGAGCAAAGATTCAATTTATATTTTGCTATAACATTTCTACAGCCTCCATTATTCAGGGATCTGTACAAAATATTGTTTACTCTTGTGTAATGTAAAGTAGCTATTAAAATCGATATTTAGGGCATTTGAAACGCAACTACTAAACTGGACTAAACCATAAAAATAGATAAAGGTATAGACACCAAGATTTTAAAATTAATTGCACATATAATTAAAAAAAATTTAACTAGATACTTTGAAAACATAGAAACTCAATGTATCAAATACTCAACAGAAATATTACTTTGTACTAATATAATGAAATTAATTCAACATAATATCATTTGATTATAATTAATAAAAACATTTCAAATTTTGGTCAAAAATTAATTTTTTTGCACAATTTTACCAGAGATGACCTAAATCTAAAATGGACTTCGTTTAGTATACATCAGAATTTTTTGGACATTTTTTATTATTGTCTTATTTTTTTTAATCAACAAATTTCAATCAATCATCTAACAATAAAAATTCTTCACTTCCAAAAAAACAAACGGATATGTTTTTATAGACGTGAATATTTCACTTTTATTGATAAATTCGTTTTATCCTGTCATTTAATTTAAAAATACCAAATTTCACAATCTATTAAACAAAAAAATGTGGTATCATATTAATAAAATAAAAAATCTTGGTATACATTTTACAATATTAATTTATATTTACACGACAAGGTTATATTTGGATAACAAAAACGTTAAATAAATAATTTGTTGATACTCCTATTAGTTACTGGGATATTTAGGAAGGGAATTTGACCAGCAGTTCCCTTTAATTTTTCTAAATAAGTACACTGCTAAATCAGACCATTGTCGTGCATTCATATACTAGTTAAATTATTGTAGTAATACATTTTAATTCTTCGGCGAACCGCCAAGAACACTTCACGTATATAACTAACAAAAAAAACTTCAAAAAGTTAGGTACTATAAAAATATATACCTCACATGCACTCCATTTAAATAAACACAACACGCATTCGACAAAAAGAACAAAAAAAAGAACCAATTCATTTCATAAAAAAAACATCGCCTTCGTATAAAAAACAGTATCAATCGGACATTTAGCTAAGAAATTCTTCTACAGTATTATCTGTATGTTATCCGAGTCCTACGTCTAGAGTCATCATAACTAAGAATCCGATGACCGCTCCCCAAGTGGCCAATTTTCCGTTACCTCTGCAAGAAAAAACACAAAAAAAATCGGATACAGAGACACAGCAAAGAGAAATTCAACGGTTATTAGAATGAATTAGCGATGATGATGTTAATGACAACGAGAACGATGCCGATCGGCGATGACGTGAATTGATTAGAGCGAAACGACAAGTCCAATTATTTCCACTTTGAATGAAAAAAGATGATAAAAAGAAGTATTACATCAAATGCATGTATTGAAGTAATTTGTTGTAATAACAGAGTTTCTAATCCGGGCGATAGGGTAGCAGTTTTTTCTCATGAGATAGAGGAGTTTATCACTAAAATATCTCTTCATCTCCAAGCAACTTATCCTTGCTGGATAATTCCAGTATCCAGAGATGATTATTAGTATCAGGTTTTATATTAATTTTGTTAGAACTGTACTCAAAACATTATGTTAGTACTTAGTTAAAAGTTGTATAAATTCGATTACCACTTATTAAAGGTGTCTTTTAGTGAATTAATGATATGAATTATGTACCTACATGAGAAGAACTAGAACTAGTACTCACTCTGTATTGGCTTCGGGGATGATATCATCCACTACGACATAAATCATAGCTCCAGCGGCGAAAGCTAAGGCATAAGGAAGAGCAGGCTCAGCTAGACTCACAGCTAGAGCGCCCAGAACACCGAAAATTGGCTCCACCATACCGCTGAGTTGGCCGTACCTAAGGAAACAAATTTAAAAATCCTCCATTGGAAGGGGTGAAAAATTCATTCCAATATCTTCGACTAGAAGACTGTTCTTCGATTTCTATTCTTCGAATAGAAAACCGATGTGATATAAACACAGGACTTACCACAAGCTTTTCCATGTCGAGAAACCGGCTGCTTGAAGCGGAAGACTCACCGCTAAACCTTCGGGGAAATTTTGAATTCCGATTCCAAAGGCAAGGTTTCTGAAAACGTAAAATAGATATTGAAAGTACTATTCCTACTATCTTAAAAGTAGTACTAAATAACTCGATCAACCAGAAAAAGGGCTAAGCAGTCTCGAAAATTCTTACATGAAAAGTTAGGTGAATCAAAGGAAGAATAGAAAATTAAACTGTCGAATAAAGCATCAAGATTTTCTCTCGACTCGCTATCTCTACAACCAAAACATTAGAAAATCTGGCATCACGAAAATAATTCCTTTAAATTTGTGTTAATCTCGTTTCCATATTCTCACGCGTTCTTCGGGCGAGTTCATTCATTTGCTCGAGTCTGACTGTGCCAAATACATCCATAATAAGGCAACCGAAAAATTTCGATTGCACAATCGCATCGTCGAAAAGCGCCCGAGCGATCGAAGGCACCGACGAAAAGGTACAGGCTGGCCAATGCACTTGGTCGGAGAGAAAAAAAATTAAATGAACCAACGGTGAATTCGAACGTGAATTTAGTTGTATATTTGGTTACAAAAGTTAGCGCAGTGGAATCCGTCGAGCTTTTACAAAAAAGTGTAAGTAGATTCGGTTTGTTGCTTTTTCGTAGAAAATTCGCGGGAAATCGTTTATTGTAAATATCATGTAAACGAGGAAATCGACAAGTGATCGCTTTCGTTTTCGGCGTGTAAAGTGTTAACGAGTTATTATAATTGATAATTTGTTTACGTTATTTTAAGCATATTAATGCTTCCTTCCACAACGGTTGACAAGACAGTGACTGTTCCCATGTACTAATTAACTATCACGACAAATTAAGCGATTAATTAATTACGTTCCGAGAAATGTTTTGAAACAACACGTATGAAGAGATACAAATTCTTTGTAATGTAATAAACGTCGTAAAAACAACATTATAATTCATTTGAGAAATGATAAATTAACCCTTTGGAAAGCGCTACAGAGACGGATTTAACGTTTTTCCACGCACCAAATGCATGTAATAAAATCTTGTTGTTATGTAAATATTTGCATGATGAATTTGTTGATTGTTGTAATTTATCGTCGAGACATTGAAATGGACTTTCGATTTTATTTACCGATTTTTATCGGTTCTCGGGGTGATGTCGAGTGTGAATACCGTTCGTAAAATTGCCAGTAAAACAAATTACTCTCGTGCATAATATTCTCTTGAACGCTGTATTTTTATTTTGAATTTTTGTTACATTGTTTTTCAAAGGAATCTTACAATTGCGAAACCCACAATCGTTTTTATCTTTATCAATGCAATCAAACATTATCATTTTACACAAAGGGATTAACAAGAACAGTTCTGACGTGATTTTTACTGCTATTTATCTCATGATTTTCATTGTCTCTTTACAAAAACCTCGCATCCAAAAATACGTTTTTTTTTAATAACAAATCACCCGTACAACCACCGCAAGCCTTCTAATCTGCATTTTAAAAGCAGCGATTTTTCCATTATTAAAATCCATCAACGTAATTTTCTCCTTTCTATACACGGCGCAGCGAAACCATCAAACGGAGAAGGGTCAAGTGGCCCATGGAATGTGGCCAGGCCTACTTGACCAGACCGTCGCCTCGTTCAGAATATTACAAAACACCTTGCAGGAATGCAATCTCGATATTCTCTGTACGTGCACTTTCCTGATCATTCTGAAACTTACCGAAGAGAAAAGCTTGCACTACAGGAATTAAGTTAGATCGATAGATTTAACAATTGTTGCTAATCAAATGCTACTCCCCGACAAAAAGGTGTTGCTAGTCGACAAAAAAGCGTTGCTAGTCGACAAAAAGCGTTGCTAGTCGACCAAAAAGTGTTGCTAATCGACCAAAAATTGTTGCTAGACGGTTTGCTGTTGCTACAAACCTAGAATTTCAATGGAAGTAATTGGTAATTAATAGATACAATAAATTGTTTGGTGATATTCTTTCCGAGTTCAATAGTCCTTGTAATGAACGGATTTATATTCTAATGGAATTCAGTTTCATTCAAATAGTACATAGACAGAAAATGTAGTGTATTCGTTTTTTTCTATCAAGATTTTTTTCAGTTCGTGCACGCACAATTATTTCTACAAACATTAACCGAATGCGAAATGGTCCGTGGAAAGGTTATCGCATCGCGTTAGCGCGGATTTATCTTTTCATTTATTTAATAATTGACGAGTTTAGGAGTTTTACAGTTTTAAATCCGATCTGGTCGCGTTCGGTCGATTCGACCCTCGTTTTTCCGAGTTCTGTATCAAAAGTGGCGTTTAGTTGGAATCGATTCGCCGATTTGGAATATATAACGCGTAAGTGTTAATGGTAGATTAAATAATCGAGACATATTTCGCGAGGAAAAAACGACATTCTTATGCAAATTCGCCGGCGAAATTTGAATTTGTCGGCAAACTGGCAAGGACGATCAATGATTAAAGCCAGATGCCATCGAAATGCTATCATAACATGTTCTAGGAATTGTTATTCTGTTATAATTAATATTAAGTAACTTTAATTTGTTGTTGCTGTAAACATGGTTAGGGTGGATTAGTTAATGCGTTGATAACTTTAACTGATAGTTAGCCAATACAAAACGGAATCTATTTATGCAAATCTCTCAGATTTTATACCTTAAAAATATTTATACATGTAGCTAATATGTTGAGAATAATTAGGTATAATCCACGATTAATTTCATTCTCCTCAAACGAAACATAAAAAAAAACTAATTTTAACTGAAGAATTGCATTACTCATCCAAAGATTTCGAGCCATTTCTGTCTATAACATTACTTCCTATTATAGGAATAAAATATATTTTTCAGAAGGTTTCTTCTCAATGTAACTAGTTAAAATTTATTTAATCATTCATTAACTCTTGCATTTGTTTCAATGTTAAACAAGTGGTTATAGCAAATCAAATTTGTGCCATAAAAAATCGAAGAAAAACATGATAGTTTAAAAAATAAATGGATTATCTACATTCTTTAAACTTCAGACGTTACCGAAAAAGCTTATTACGTAAAAAACGATAAATTTACAGCAAAGTTTTCGTTGAACCAAAACTTCTGTCTGACCTTACAAGTTTATCCGCAATGAGCCCAAAAGATATTAATGGATATTTAGAGAATAACAAAAACTTTTATTCGATAATATTTGTTTATAAGTTACAATTTCCTTTCATTTTTTCTTTTAATTAATAATACGATTAGTAAGAATTACAAAGAAAACAGTTACCAGAATTATGAATAAACTCTTTTTTTATTTAAATCAAAACTTTCCATGTAGTAAATTAAAAATTAGGGCAAAAGAGCAAACATTACATCATTAGAATGTATTATTCTGTTCATTGAAATTTTCTAGTTTTTTTTGCCGGCTCAAAAATTATTCATAACGAATTAATTAATACGGTGTGGACATCCTAATAAAACGAGACTTTTTCATTAACAACAATTAACGAAAAATATTAATGAAGATAAATTGACGAAGGCAAATGCGAGATAATGCACTTCTAACTCTATTTTACTCAGTTGTAATACGATCACCGAATAAAAAATACGGTGGAATACAAAAACACTCCATAAGAGTTTGCATAGTTTATGTGATCGTGAAAGGGATATCTAGGTCGAAATCGGTAAAACAGGAGCAACATTTTAAGGTAAAAAATTTAAATATTAACTATTGAATGAATCAATTTTACATTGAATGAATTTTTTCCACATTGGAATAATATTTAATATAAATATTAAACAAAATCTTGATTATGTTATAAGAAAATAAGGTGAAAATTAATTTTTTAAATTGTAACATTAAATGAATTGTCAAAAATGTCGAATGTATGAGTCCTAAAAAATCAACTTTATGTCTACTGATGTACATTAATTTTTAAGAACACGTGCACTTTATTACCTGCCTTAAATAAAATTTACATAAACTTACGTAACAAATTTAAAAGGATTTTTTATTGTAAACTTTTTAAATGTTGGAATAATTTACTACAATAAATTATATTAACTCTCTTAAATTCATTGTAAATAAATACAAAAGTTAAACAGATAAATAAATATACTTAATATTTGTTAAGTTAATCAATAGATCGATTTTATCTTATTTTTGATCGAATCTACATATCGAATAAACACAATACAACCATTTAATTCGTTTTATAATTGAATACAAGTTAAAATAACATATTCAACTCACATCGTATTTCTCATTAAATTATGTCTACTAACCGAGGTAAATAAAATGTCATCAAGATAAACAAGAATGGATTACAATTCAGAAATCTCGCAGGAATAACATATGCACACCAACGACGGACGATAATAATATAGTGGATTATTTAATTAGGTTTATAACCTTTGGGCCGAAAGCAACCCAAAAGGGCGAGAATTTTCTATTTATAGAAAAAAAGTGAAATCGTATTTTTTTTAATCGACCCAAACACTTCCTGTAATATTTGTTTGATGTGCATATGTATAAATGTGAAACATCTAAGCATTGTGGTGACAAAAAATAGTATATCTTTGTTCGGTTCATATAGTGTGTTTAAAATATAATAGCAGGTAACACGTTATACAGTATGTCCCAAAGCCCATTACTAAAGTTTTGATAATATACATATAATTAAAATAAACTCAATCTATTAAGGCTAGTTGTGTAGGCGCATTTCCTAAATTTCTCGGTCTTATTTTTAATGTTATGCTAAACTTATTTATAATTCATTAGAAATTATGCAAAATGTTTCACGATATATTTAGAAATTTTAACACAATCTGTATAAAATTAACTCTGAAAAGGTCTTTAGGAAAGAATTGTGTTAAGGCGTGACAGCTTCGTTTTTTAGTAATTATCAGTTAATCTTTATTTGTAATATTTTTATTTTATCACTATTGTCACCGAAAATGCATTTTATCTGATTTGTACTACAATAATTAGATACGGTATCTAATTACAATTGAATTAATTTTAAGTACTGAAAATTCACGGAAAATAAACTGAATTTGAAACTTACATTTCAGCAAAAAGATTGCAATCAAATTGTAAGTAATAGTATCATTATTATCGATATCATGAAAAAATTTCATCATTTATCACGTGTCACATCAATCACGTAATTAATACTTTTAAGCTTGTTTCAGTAAAGATCAAATAAATTTTTCCCTATTTAACATAGATACTAAGGTTAATTTAATTATGGTGTCAAAAGCGCTCTAAATCCCTCATATTCTACATATCTACCCTTTGCCCTTTAAGTGTATAAAACCAACCCATCATTTAAAAATTACAAGAGGACAATATAAAAAGTAGCACAAGATTGAAAAGGTAATTTGATAGAGAATTATTCATCAACGTGACATTTTTGTTAATTTTAGTGCCTTCTTGCGGAAAAGGAGTGCTGTAAAATTCCTTCTGTGATACATCATTCTTGAAAGCTAATTTCCTATAAGTAATTCATCATAACTACCTTCTTCTATTATTTTGATAAATTTCGTTATCGTGACCTTTACTATTAACGATAGAGGACTTTATCGAGTATAAAACAGTTATCAAAATTCGATTTTCTAATATTTTGGCGGTCTAGTGCTTAGGAAACAGGAACCAGATCAAAACTAACAACAGTGCCAATTTTTGATTATGTAAGTACCAAATATATTATGTCAAAAATAGTGAATAAAAACTTTTTAAAGCTTCTATCGAACACTCCGTAATTATTATGCTAATTGCATCATTACTCATTTTATAAACGAACCCCACCTAATTCGAATGTGTTAAAACGCTTATTTACGCCGACGAAAAATAAACTATTTATGAAAATGAAGACAGTAATTAACAATTAAAATTCTAACATCAACGCGCCGAATAAAATGTGGCGGCAAATAGTGAGGTTTATAACTAATTAGAAGCCTTCGAGCTTTAGACAAGTAAATTTGAGCGATGAGCCGAAACCGAGCTAGACATCTTGTAGGTCTCCAGGCTGATATATAGGATAAGCATAAGAGGGATCCAAAATACAATTTTCATTCAATTTAATTTATCTATAAAAAGTTTCACTACTGATGTAGTGCAAAGGATAATGGTTAGGATAATGGACAAATCTTATTTCGCAAACACGAAACCCGATAAATTCACTCACCATTTCTACAATCTTCTCACACCATTAGATCGTACCAGATTCTAGCAAAATTGCTCAATTGGAGCGATCGTGGACGAGAGCCCGGCGTCCTTGCGATCGCTTCCAACACAAACCAATGATCCTCCTGATCGGCTCCGAACCGATGCAAATCCACAAAGCCTGCCCGACGAAATCCTCAGCGCTAACATAAAACATAATCGTCAGCGCGCGACATCGACACAGGCGCGTTTTCCGTGTACCGAGTCAATTTTTTTTCTAAACGAAATTCGCGGTTTGTTTTGGGACGAAACGAAAAGGGGTAGAAGATGCTGCGTTGGGGCTCCGATGGTCGGGAGAGATGAATCGTGAGTGAGTTCCGGGAAAACCAAGTTCGATTTCCACCTGTTGATGCCGGTTGTTCGTTCTGAAACGATTCGCGGCTTCGTCGAGAGGTGAGTCGAGCGAATCGATGGAATTGCGTGTAATTAGAAATTTAATTCGATTGTAGTGGGTACGAATTAAAATTCCACAGCGATATTTTATGATGTTGCGATGTATTAGGAATTAAATCGCGGCGATTTCCTGATTTTTTTGAACCACATTGAAATGCTAAGTTTATGCATTTGATTAGAATGGTTAATTCAAATCGGCGGACGGTTTTTTACATAATACGTTTTGTTCTTTATGTGCTAAATTGGTTTTGATTGAGTAAATTTGAATTACTTTATTTAGATTCTAGGACAACTAATTCTAAAATTAATATAACAATTTTTTTAACTTTATCATTGTTTAAACGAATATAGATAATAATTATGCAAGGCACATTTTATTTGAAATCTCCCTATTTAGTTTATTTCCTATTTTCTACATAAACGTGTTAATATTAAAATAGGTAATTATTATTTTCTTACTCACTAAATTCATAATTATTTTTTAGTTTATTTTCGTTTTAAAATTTTATTTGTTTGAAATATTTTCGTTAACTCTCAACATTCAATTGGTGTTTTGTAATTACAAATTCCTTTATCCTTGTTACACCCTTACACTATTAACAAACAACACAAGAAACATTTTTTTTAATGTGAATTGCATTCCAACCGCGACCTTACCCATTATAGAATTGAATAACCTTAAAAAAAGAAATAAAAGCAGGTAAATCCATTTGAAAAAGAATCGCTTATCGAAGGATAAGGACAATCGCCTAGACCTAGACAGGAAGTTTAGAAGAGTAATGACAATGTTTGATTCCTTAGTTATATAAATAAATCTGCATTAATGCGAAACGTGGAACGAATAATAGAATATAAAATTAGAAATAAAACCGGAATTCCTTGCACTGTGTCTATTGTGTTGGATTCAGCATAAATGATCATAGTGCACCTACATCAGTAAGGTCTGAATATTAAACAATTCCTTTTGAATATTTTTCCGTTTTTGTTCATAAAAACAAAATCTATTTACACAATCTATACTTGATAGTATTGTTTTTGATTTTGCAGTAATGTTGATGAATTAATAAATATCGACCTCGACATTTGCAATTGCAAAGCAGATCTTGGCCATTTTTTTTATTGTTTCTTCCAAAGTGGGTCGCGAAAACAGCAGAGAAATCTACACTAAAGTTTCACAATTGTGGGGTGAAATCGTGTATCCATTATTAATCAAATTGATTACAAAATTAATTAATCGTCTCAAGTAATTGATTTTTGGGTAATTAAGTTTATAAAAAATATCTCATTTTACTCTAAATTAAACATTTCTCATTTGATACATTATATTCCTCTGCTTACGCCACTCGAGTAATTATTTACTTTTTAATATCTAGTTATTTATTGTAAGATAAAAAACAACAGGTTTTATGACTGATTTTTCCGGAATGTTCTGAAGATTATTTATTTATTAATCGTTCATTTGAGTACAAAACTTATTTTCGCAATACTTAAACCGTATTAAGCGTAATAATTCCAGTTATTGTTACGATCGTGATATAAAAACCGTAAGGTTATTAATCCTAATAAATTTGATTTAATTTACACGTACTTTTTGTAAATGTTATTACTTTATAAATTGCTCACTTAGATTCACTTAGAAGACATGTATGTAGGTACAATTAATGATTTAGTAACTTTTCCAGCATCTGCAATTCGTTTTATAATTTGTGCAATCCATTTCTCAATTTTTCAATCTCTTTTTCTCCCAACAATTAATCAAGTACGCGCTTGATTAAAGTGATAACCCCCTTCATTAGCCTACTTGTAGCAATATGTGCATACTATTATGTAGCCTGAGAAACTAATGTATTTAAAATTGTGTAACTTTAAATATGTTAACATGCCATTTTTAAGTCTCTACTTCCAAGAGATTGACCAGCAATTAATAAGCGCACATCAATTAAACTTCACCTTGTACTTTTTTTTATCGATATTCCAAGTGAAATGACAAAGCATTATAATTGACCAAGCATTCAATAAGCAGACGTTGTAAACACTACGTTTCGTAATAGTTTCTTTAAAAATAAATTTTCTACGCAAAACCAAGACCTGCCTTTTACATTTCCAGACTCCCACCTGAACCATGGCTCATCACCATCACAACTTCGAGATGATCGAAGTGGAGGATCACAGCCGGCGCCCAAAGAACAAGGCCCTGGCCTTCCTCAAACAGAATATTCTGACGATAGCAACGATGACTGGCGTCGTGCTCGGAGTAGTCCTCGGCATGTCGCTCAGAAACGCCAAAGACAAATGGACGGCGAGAGAAGTCATGTATATCGGATTTCCAGGTATTATGCCGCGTTAGATTTGCTTTCTTAATTCAACCGGGCGTTGTTTCATTAGGTGAAATCTTCCTGCGGATGCTGAAAGGTCTGATCATACCGCTGATCGTATCGTCGTTGGTATCTGCAGTAGCCAGTTTGGATTTGTCTCTATCGGGGAAAATAGCCGCCCGGGCAATCGCCTATTATTTAACCACCACTTTTGCTGCGGTGGTGCTAGGTATGGTGACCGTGGTGACCATTCGACCGGGAGTCGGCCACAAGGCAGCTAATGTGACCAGCGTGGATCAAAGGAATGTCACTACAGTGGATACTCTGCTTGATTTAATTAGGTGAGCATTTCGATGTGAAATTCCATTTTTTTTATAGAACAAGGTGAAAGATAACGCGCTTGTAATGTGCCGTTATAAATCACGTTCGTGGTTGTTTGTTGGTGTAAACTCGTTAATTTTTATCAAGAAAATTTTACTGCAGTCGATTATGATTTTTAAACAAATACAATAACAGAGAATTGTTTAATGGTGTAGAATTTGAATTTAATATTGTTGAAAACTGTTAAGCGAATTTATTGTTAAATATTTAGAGCCTTAAAGTCGCCTAACTAAAAATGTTGAACAAACTCTTTGTATTCTAATTTACTTGATATTTCTCTAATATTATCATGTTACAGGATAGTAATTATCGCTAAAACACTTCATTTTGATGAAGTAAATAGTATTTTAATATTACTTTCTTATTATAATAAATTAATTGGCCTATAATATTTATTGACCTTGCGAGTTATCGATAATAATAGTGCACCACATTTCATCGATTCTACGTATTTGCGTTAATATAATTACAATTCAATTTACTATATATTTTCTTTACTTCATTTATGTAATGTTGAAGACATATAACTATCATTATAATTATTAGATTAATCTGATAGCAATTAAATTTGAATGCTCAGATTATGAAGATATTTCTTAACTTTTAAGATTATCATTCACAGGATACATCTGTGTAAATTAGTAGGTGCAGGAAATATTTATCATAAAAGTTGTTAATGGTAGTTGTACAGAAACAAATCATGTTTATGTTCACTATCCAGGTCATTCCCAATTAAATTCAAACACTCCTATTATTTATAACTAAAATCATCGTTATAAAGTTTAGTCGTTGCCAAATGAAAGCAAAGAAATTATGGTAATTTTTTTTCTCATTCCAGAAATATGTTCCCGCCAAATATGGTCGAAGCCACAACTTTCCAGGTAAACGATATTTTCAAAACTTCGTGAAAGTTCTCGTTGGAAATGAGCTAACAAAACTGAAAATCTAACTTTTAGATTTTTTTACTAATTTTTGCTTTTCTTTTTCAGTATCGAACGAAACTTATTCCACCAAACGACCACGAAACAAGTAAGAAACTCGTTCAACAAAAAATTGATATCATGTCCCGTTTCCACTATTTGTAATATCATCAACTTCTCATCAATTTTTTTGTAGATCTCTATAAATTCAAGATAGGAGAACCGGACATAATCCAAAGCACCAACGTCCTAGGTTTGGTCGTCATAGCGGCCGCTCTGGGCATTTCCATCGCCCAATTAGGCAAAGAAGCCAACGTCATCGCAAACTTCTTCCACAACCTGATGGCCGTCAGCATGAAGATCACCTCCTGGGTCATATTCCTCTCGCCGGTCGGCGTTCTCTTCCTAGTCTGTTCCAAAATAATGGAAATGGACGACATCCCCACCGTAGTGGGCCAATTGGGATGGTACTTCACCACGGTCTGTTGCGGTCTATTCATACAAGGCTTCGTCGTACTGCCTCTACTGTACCTCGCCTTAGCCAGAAAGAACCCCTTCATTTTCATAAATAACATGTCCCAGGCCATCATAACCGCCTTCGGATGCGCTTCCAGGTAAACACAGCTCTTCTCGCGTTGTATACAACAACAGAATTGATAATTTTAACGTTAAACGGCAGTTCCGCTACCCTTCCGTTGACCATCCGATGCCTGGAAGAGAAGAACGGCGTCGATTCGCGAGTGGCCCGATTCTGCTTGCCCATCGGATCGGCCATCAACATGGACGGCACCGCCCTCTACGAAGCCGTGGCGGCCATCTTCATAGCCCAAGTGCGACACGTTCCGATGGACTTCGGCACGCTGGTGGCCATCAGCATCACCGCCACGGCGGCCAGCATCGGCGCCGCCGGCATCCCCCAGGCCGGCTTGGTCACCATGGTCATGGTGCTCGACACACTCGGACTGCCCGCCGAAGACGTCAGCTTGATTCTGACCGTCGATTGGCTGCTGTGAGTATCCTCTGAACACCACCAAACGATTTGGGACTAATGCTGGGGTTGTTTGGTTCGTGCAGGGATCGGTTTAGGACGGCGATTAACGTCATGGGCGACGCCTTCGGCGCCAGCATCGTCTACCACAGGAGCCTCAGGGAGCTGGGCATCATCGTACCGACGGATTCGTCGGCCGACGATCCGCCGGAGTACATCGATGGGGAACCGATGTCGGGCAAATCGCATCTCACCGAACGCAATCGGACTTCGATACAGTAGAAAAAGATTGCCGAGAAACGCTTCGATCTGTACATAAAGCTACGTCTGCTTTCCCACAAATTATTTTTAAAAAGACAGTGCAATTCTCCGTACTACTAGGTATAAACTAAATCATGCGTATTGAAGATTAAATTAATTATAAGAACGATACTTAAATGCCTTAATTGTACAATTAATATTGACAAAATAAACTCAATAACATTCACGTTTATTACATACAATTTCATTCTACTAGTAGCACACCCGAGGGTATAATTTACACAAAAACAACCCATTATCCTGATAAATCGAATGTAATTGTAAATCCGAATCATCGAAGGATAATGGAATCCGGTTTCCCGGATTCCTGAAAAAGCGTAGTTTGGCGGAAATCGGCTAGATTAGGATCGGGCGAGTAGGCCCGGCGAGGAGGTGAACGGGAGAATTTTCCGGAGATCGCGAAGCGAGCGGAAAAGCGGAAAAGTAGGGCGTGCCGGAACATCCCTTCGCGCGAGGGTTTCGCCATTAGGAAAGCAGCAAATCGACGGGGGTGTGTCGGGGTTTTCCCGAGCGCGGGAAAGCCGATTTATTCCTAAAGGGCGAATTATTAGGACCGGATTTCGGCAGTTAAAATATAGCACGAAGCTTCGTTTATTTAACTCCCTTGGATGTTTAATAACTAATTAAAAGTTCAATGATTTTTTTGTACTGAATATTCAAGGCAAATGAATAGTTCAAAAACAAACTTCCGGATATTTTAAATATAGTTTCCCCATAAAATAGGAAACGAGTTTTTACGATCTACATAGAACTTCGTTATTTACCTACTAACTTATTAAAACCTTTCTAATTAGATAACGATCGTTCTTTCCGCCGATTTAATGTTAGAATAATGAGGCATCTAACATATTAAAACGAGCCCTTAATTAAGGAAAATGCAGTTTTAATCGTTTGAAATTTTAACGTCCTCAAAATCGTTAATTTAATTTCCGTTTATTAAAAAATTATATACTGCAAATATTTAGTGTGTTATTAAATTCCTTCGTTCGAGAAAAACGAGTTTAAAATTATTCTACGAACAAAAAACCTGTAGATTGCAGATAATTCATTCAATTGTAATAAAAATGATCTAATAATAGAATTTCACTTAAGGACATTCTTTCTACTGTATTTAATTAATATTATTTTTAAGCAAGATTACTGCTATTTTAAGGGGTGTCAGTGTCAGTAAGTTGTTACAACAGTAGAATAAATATAAATAACCCAACAATTATTATCACAAATGTATTCAAACGAGTTAATTAATCCGAAAGCACGACTTAATCGACAAAAAAAAATTGCTATTCAATTCTACGATCGATTCTTCAATTACTGCACGGGGGACTGTTTGGTTATTGTACCATTGTTTTATAATTAATAGTTACATATTTTATTAATCTAACAACGTGTCATACTAATGTTTTACTAAACGATATTTCTCGCTGTTAAAATTATTATTCATGAAACATTTAAATTCCTTAAGACGTAAAAAATTGATTAACAATTGAGATTAATAGGATTTGAAACGCCTTCGAAAAATGAACTGAAGTTAGTGGAAGGTTCTGTTTTAACAGGAATAGGAATAACTCTGGAATCATCCGGAAACGAATAGCAGGAAAGCGCATTAAGGAAGAATCGATTCCAATTCGCTCTTCGACATTCTACGTTCCTGGTCCTCGAATTTCACCTTACCTCTAGGTGAAATTAGAGGGAAAATTCAGGTAAAATAAAATATCCCTCTCGAGAAATCCGTCGATATAACCTCACAAACAGCAAAGGTGAATTAAACCGTTTCCATTCCAAAAAAAATTGGGTTTTCTACAACGAATTTTTATCTATCGACAAACGCCTCGATAGGATCTTGCTCTTTTATCGTTTTTAATAGACATTTAATTACACATCTACGCCGTTGGTACATAAATTATAGGATGAACGGATTCCTCGGAAGGAGTTAATTTGAGATTCAAATATTTTAATAGTGTTTTAACTAAAATTATTTATTCAAATATGCAAATTAACTTTAACATCCGAAATACAAATTCCTTACTAACGTTTAAAACTACGGCGTTGTCGTGTTGGTTTCTTTAAATGATATGAAAATCGAACAGGGGTGGTTTCAGTTAAAATTTCAATCAAAATACGAACCAGAAATTAAATTGTTATGAATTAATTTACTAATCTTGTGTATTATTAAAGTATCTACGAGTAGTCCAAGCATTCTGAAGAGTAAAATAGTATTACAAATCTCGATTCATAAATAAAATCATTCAAAGCCGGTGCTGTGCATTGCCCATGATCCGATTTCCTCCGTTGATAGCAGCGATTATTATCGCTCCTGCTATTCGATATATTTCCGAATGCATTCCAGGATTATTTGAAAATTCATGGTCATTATTCCGATTCCGATAATTACATATTAATGAGGCGTCTAGTTTACGGTAGAAAACATGCTCCGGGGGTGTTCCTACGATTGTTCTGGCACATCCTCTCGCGCCAGATAACTCATCAATAAAAATTTCGATTTAACACTCCACCGATATTGAATGTTTTCGTTTCAGCATTTTTTTTTTCATTCTTGCTGTTATTGTCTTATTAGCAATTCGCGAGGAAATAGACCACTCTTCCATGACTACGGTGCATTCGGGTTCAGGAATTTACATAAAGTATTAAAAATATGACGTTAATTATAGGTAATGAACGGAGTTTCTCGAGAGCTAGTCGGTGTGAATTTTTTTTTTTTTGTAAAATGTACTTCGCTTTTTTGTTTTAATAATAATATTCTGCAGGTATTGTTGCGCGTTAAAACAAGACTTTTGCTCGTCGAAAAAACAATTTATGTAGTTATGCTTCTTAGAGAAGAGGTCACAGAAGCTCGATTATTTAATGAAATAATTTCATTGCCACGTTTGTTAATCGATGAAATGAAAACAATCAGAAATAACTGCTCCAAAAGGTTAAGTGAGGCGAGTAATTAGAAGATCAACATTAACGAAAAAAATAATCCTCGAGATTTATGTCATGGATTTTTAGCAAATACTAGGCAATTTATAATAATAGGCATTTCTTCACCAAGGAATGCCACTCGATTAATCGCCTTGGACTTGGAGTAAACAGAGGCAAAATACCGGAGGTTTTCGAAAAAAAATATTTGCCAATCCCAATGTTAATATTACTTACGTATAAATTGTAATGTCAAAGGCAAAAAATTTGCATAAAGGCTACGAAGTAAAATTCTCGATTGAGTGTATTACAGAAGAAATTTTTACTTCCAATTATACCCAAGACTTTAAAATATATTCACGAAAGTAACTTAAGCTGACACGTGTGTGTAACATTAACATTACAAGGTATCTTAATCTCCATGACCCCCAATTTTCGTTAAATTACCCTTCTCCAAATATTCCCTAATCCCATAATGCAAATTAGAATTGTCTGTTTAAGGACACAGCTATTAACAGCAGTCAAATAAAAAATATACGACCATAAACAAGGGATGTTTTATTGTTTCCTTCAATTGGAACTCGCACGCTATAATTTATGCCCAATTTACAGTTTAGTATTTCCGTATAACCGGATAAAGTAACCAAATAAAGAGCGCCCGACCGCGACCAGCTTTTCACTACTTAACTTTACGGCGTGCCAATAAAAAATGAAAAAAAAATACTACCTATTAGTGCATTAGCATAATGCATAGTTAATTCGACTGAAATTAGATACCCGACATGAAAAATTCGGGCGTACGTTATATTTTACGAGTTCAACCAGCTCAGAAGTTCCTCGTCAAAATAAAGGCAAATAAAAAAAAATAGATACCAATCTAATCGAGATGGATGCAAATGGTCATTATTATACGAAAAATGTAAATAATGAGGAATTCGTAAACTCTTAAATACTCTTTAAAATCCACTTGACGCTTTCAGCTGTACACCATCATTTAGCTTTCTTGTGTGTTCTTAATTATAAAGATTTATAGCTCTTTGAGTTGAGGAAATTTAGCAGAAGTTTTTGACATAAAGTAACATACCTGGCTTTCTCCAGGGACGAGGCCACAGCTGTACCGGTTGCGCCGAAACCAACTCCGACGGCTAATCCCTCGGGAATGTTGTGGACTGTAATGGCTACTACCAACAGTATGATCCTCTTCCATTGGCCTTTTTGAATTTCTTCTATGTTACAACCTTCCTCGTCGTCGATGCTCTGCGCATGAACTTTGCCTTCAGTATTTCTCTGTATTTTTACAGATTTTATACCTACTGCAAGAGACCAAGAAAAATTGTGTAAAATATTTGAATTATTGGTAAATACTTAGTGGAGGGTGAATGTTAAAAGTTGAAAGGTTCTTCAAAGAGGGAAATTTTTAATCAAATTTGTAATGAAGAATTCAGATGGCTTTTTAGAAGGATTCTTCAAAGTTGTGTTTATTTTTCGAATTTTCACTTCTATTGGTTTTTGAACACTAGAATGTTTAATGGAAATATTTAAGGTTTTATTTAATACAATTTATTTTATATAAATCATCAAAAAGCTTGATCAAATCATAAAGAATCTTTTATAAACCTTGATTAAACCATTAAAAATCACACTCAAATTAATTAAAAATAGATTTTCAAACAATTGAGTAAACTGACAGAAAATCATTAAATTTTTTGAAAAAAAAAATAATCAATAATTCAAGAAACCATCTTTAAAACCTATCCTTCAACATACTAATATAAAAAAAGAAAACATAAAATCAAGGAAGACAAATTTAAACAAAAATAATTTAAATTAGAATCATAAACGTTAAGCACAAATCAAATTGAGAAGTAAAAATGTATAAGAAAAGAAAGCCTTTAATTATGTGTGCTCAACAAAATCCACACTTGAATTAACAATTTTTTTAACAAACGCCACATAGTAAATAAATAATTGAGTAATAGTTAAACTGAACAAACAGCCTAAAATTGTATTTCGCCGGGTAAACCCCATAATAAAACTTTTAAGCTCTTAAGTTCAATACAAAATGGCATTCAACAGTGCTTATCAAAAACTTTTATCAATCACGTACTTTTTGATTAAACGACTATAACGAATAGAATCGTGTGCATCTAATATAAAAATATCAGCGTACATGAAATTCTTCGACAAACAGAATGAAAGTTATCAACAGCATAATATCAATATTAACTAAAAATTACCAAACCAAAAAAAATAAGATATCAAAATTATCTCGTTCGTGCGCTATTTCACGCAATTAGAGGTGAAAATAATGTCTTGTTGTCTCAAAACACGACTCAGATGTGTTTTCATCTTGAACATTCGCAAATGATAAAACCTTAAGTGGTCTCATTTCCACGGCATTCTTACCCCCTTTACGCTGATGCACCATCGTTCCTCCTGCTTCTGCGAATCCCTCAATGGCAGTACTTTCGGGTAAATAGTGCGATTCTCTGCGCGCACTACTCCTTCTACTATCCCGTCTACTACCGGTGGCATGTAAAGCTTTAAAAAGAAATAAAAAAAAATATTAGATACCCCTTCGGGAAGGAAAATTAAGGTGTTAAAGGACATTCGCGCTCGCTAGGCAATGACGTCACGAGCCAACGTGTTGCGACGTTGCCGGGTTGAAATGAAAAACTTGATGTGACAGATATGTTTAATTTAAAGGTTATGTTAACTTTTATTGTTTAGAAATTAGAAAGAAGAAATGCGTTAGGTTGCAATCCGATTGACGGGAGAGGTGTTTATTTGCAACGCTTCAAAACCTTATAAAAGAGAAATATACATTTAAAAAACTATTCGTAAGTTTAATATGACCTATAAATTTCAATTTGCTGAACAATCGAAAATATTGATCGGGAATTAATCGGGAAAATAGGGCCTACATCGTCCCGTTCCCTCCCAAAATAGATCGAAAAAACACCGAAAATCGCGGGAGAAACTGTCGATAAATGTACATAAACCGCACGAAAAACTATCTAGAACGAACGAAAAACACAAAACCTACTCGTAAACTTGAAAAAATACAGAAAAATCGCGCAAAAACAACAAATTGTAGTCATAACCTGTCAAAGTGTCAACTACAAAACGCCGCTAAATATTGCGAATGTTGAGACAAAATGCCTGACAACATCGCCTTCGATTTTCAACTAGGCATCTACAAATTCCCCCAGTCAAATGGGAGAATTAACATTGACAATAGGGAAATGTTGAACTGCTTGGAAATTAATGACGTCGTCTAAAAATGACGTCATTGCCTAACAAGCGCGAATGTCCTTTACAGAACTTATAGTATGGTATAAAAGGACTCAACTATAAAGTTTCGTAGCAAAGGAATAAAGTTCACGAAACACCCTGTATAGTAACTGAATAGCTTTCAAACGTTTCGTTCTATTTTCAGCAAACCCACAGGACAGGTTTGCAACGTTCGAAAACGAATAAAATTCACTTCCTATCGCCTGTTGTAGTCGACCTTGGGTAAAAATATTTTCAAACATTCTTTCGATTTCGCTCGTCGGGAAATTGATGTCTTCAATGAACTAATCGGAATAGAATTTCACTGTTTCAGGCGTTTGCATTTCCCTTTCTGTGTAAAATTGTCTAGCTCTCGAAGGCTTACCTAACATCATGTTGGGCGAGCTGACGCCGAGGACGGTGATGAGTTTATCGGCGCCGTAAACGAACAGGGCCCCCAAGAGGAAACCGGCCGCGACAGGGACGAAAGCGTATTCGCCCTTCTGGCCGTAGAGCTTGGATTCGCTGGCTTGCTCGATGGCTGGCGAAAGTAACGACCAGAAAGAGGCAGCCGTCATGACGCCAGCCGCGAAGCCCAGACTAGCGTCCAATATTTTCCTCTGGAACAAACGAAATGATGTTAATTTCTTTTAAAAAATGAGGGTTCTTTGGTTGTGCGAGTTGAATTGGATGAGTTAATGTGATATGCAATGAATTGGAATAATGTAAACAGTTGGGTACCATTCATTCGTGGTGAAAGAATAGTTGGAATTGTTTGATATATTTAGTTGGGAGGTTTTTAATTTATAAGTGTAACGGTATAAGATTTACTTGTATCATTAATCAAATGGTCTGGATTAAATAAAAACTAGATAGTTTTGTGTCACACACAGGTGTATGCAAATTTTTTTTATCCGTACGAATTAATATTCACAAACAAAATTCTTGTTTCATTTAAATAAATTTCTAATTAATAACTACGATTTGTTTAAAAAACGCAAGAGCCTTGGAATAAAATGCAAAATATGGATTAAAAGATAATAGAGAAATTAGAAATAACTCGAAGAATTTACGAATGTGTGTGTTCAAGTATGCTCCAGTTCTCGTTGAGTTGAAATTTTAAAAAGGGTAACAAGGAAAATCCTTCGAAGTATGTAAACCAATTACTTTATAAGATTAATTACCAATTCCTAGATATTCAAAACCAACTGACAATTACTTATCAATTGCATTAAAAGAAATCCTTCGACTACTACAATTTCAAATCTAACATTAATGTATTTTCGCAAAATCAAAAAAATATATATATCGCCCATAAAATTATTATTGCAAATTTTCAGTTAAAAATTAATTGAATCCAAAAAAAATAAAACCCCCCAACCCACAACAACAGCAGTAAACCCCACGCACGAACGATATAAAAACCAATCAAATTTCCATTTACAAATTAATAAAAAACCCCCAATGAAATGAAGTATGAACAGTTTGTTTACATGTTGAGGTTATGGCCTAACCTGCGAGCCCCGCACGAATATGCAAACGGCAGCTCCTGCAGCAGTCATGCCCCACGTGAAGAGGGTGCCCAAGAAGGCCTGCATCACCGGTCCGTAGCCTTCGATCATGTTAGCTGTTGTCTTTCGAGTTGGATGCGTAGAAGAGGACGTTTAACATGCCACCAGGTGCTCGTGCTCGCCGACAAAACCGCGGTCACAAACTACCATGCCAGAGGGATCCGTTGAATATATAATTTGAGAAATGTCAACAAGAATTCGCTATCAGACCATGCGCGCTCTGTTAGTGTAATCGCAGAAGGATATTCAGCAATCAGCGGTAATCTCGGGTAGGTATAAGGTGATTGGTATTCGTCTTTTTTGCACGCTTTTTGAAAAGTCGGTGTTTTGTTTGAGTTGTCTCGGTGCTCACGTATTTGTTTCTTCTTCTTATTTAATTTGTTGGAATTTTGACGTTTATGTTGAATTGGCTGTTTGAATAATGATACTGAATAGCCCCAACAATTTAGACCAATTTTTTTTAATGTCAAACATAAAAAATAAAGAAGAATTTATAAAAAATATTTTCTAAAACGACCAAACAAATATATTCAAGTTCTGAAAATTGTAATTTATGTACAGTATTTACGAATTATAAAAAATATAGAAATAATTATAGGTAACTGCTGAAAACAAAAATGTAATGCCATTATTCAAAGTTCCTGTTTCTCTTCTCGAACTAGTTGGCTGTGAATATACCGAGTTTCTTGTTTAATTTCACTAAAAATAAAGTCGAATTGAACTAACAATTATTTTTTTTAAATTATAAACTAACCTTTCTAGCGTGCTCTGTTTTTGCTCCAAAAATAGGTCGTAAATACCCTTCTGAGTTAGAAATTCTAATGCATTTTTAGCTGCAGCATTTCTAGCTAAAAATTCAGTTCTTGCTTCACCGAAACAAATCTGCAAACAAAAAAAATTGAGAAAAATCATTAAAGTAATATAAATACTTACATATTCTGGATTCATATAAAGCGATAAAACACTTCCATGTTTTTTGTCGTCTCCAAAATCTCTAATGCCTACTTCAAATTTTAATACTTTACTCAGTTCGAGTAACTGATTTAAATCGGATTTTGTGGTTTGTGAATCGTCTTTATCATTGGATTTTATGGAATTCGAATCAGTTTTCATTTCATTTCCATTTTCATCAATATTGGCCTGCTAATATAGAAATGTTATCAATATACAATTATTTTTAGGTAAATTTACCTGCTCATCATCTCCGAAAATATTCTTAGCAAATCCAATAAGAGAGTCTTTTACGCTATCTAAAGTCAAGCTAATTTCGTCCAGTTTGTTTTTGATCAACTTCTTCTTCTTCTTCCTTTTCTTTTTGTCTTTAGGCTTGTCTGAATTGTATTCGGAATCGAAGGGCAGAGGCTCCAACGTTTTTATCTTTTCCAGCATATACTCGGCAGCAATTCTGTTTTAATTCGAATTAAATTAAATAACGTAAATCAATGTAACAGTAATCACCTTTTCGACTCCTTTTTAGAGGTACCTTCTCCTGTAGTTGTAATGTCGCCGAATCTACATTCGGTAGAAAATGTCCTTTTATGCGCAGGACCGGACTCTTCTAAAACCTCAAACTCGACGTCGATTTTCCTCTTTTGACCTTCCTCGTAAACCTTCGAAATTGGGGATTTCAAACGTTCTTTGTCTTGCTTACACTCATGCTCAAAACCTAAAAAGAATTCTATACAAATTAATCTGTTGTGATGTGTATTGATTGTTTAAGTACCTTCTTTTAAACAAGGAAAATCCAAACTATCCTTATTTTTCGCTAAAAAATCCAGAGCTAGTTTGGCTACTTCGTGTCTTCCGGATTGAATTGAATGCGAAGTAGCATGAAAAACGTGCTCACCAAATTCGAGTTTAATACGAAACGGACCGTTACTGGATTCGATATCTCTCTTCAAATGCAGCTTTTTATCATTGTAAATCGACTCATTCAATTTTTGGAGGTACGATTTGCTTTTTTCAGTCAAAATAATATTCGAATGCAATACTTCCTAAAATAATCAAATCTAAACAAATTCTAAATATAAACAGTGAACATGCACACCTGCTTATCCTTATCTAGAAGATAATAAGTTATTACCACACCTAATTTCGAACCGATGTTGTTCAATAAGACAGTAGGAGTTAATTTTTCGATATCTTTCGGCGTTTTCTTTTCCTTTAATTTGGGAAACTCGTACTCCGTTAACTCCAATGCCTTGGCTCCTGCTTCTTGTTTAGCTTTCTTATGGCTCCTTCCTTCCCCAATATAATTTTCTTTGCCTAGAGTCAACTCAATGGTAAACAGTTTAGCATGAGCAGGCCCCTAAAATTCATTTAATAAAAAAGTATCCTGCAGAATTAGTTATTAGATAATATACTTCTTCCTTTAGGAGAGTAAAATAGTAATCAATGTTATTGTGACTGGCAAGTTCATTCAGTCTCAAAAGAACTGGTTTTTGATTCTCCTCAGCTATACCCACCGATGCAAGGCTTATGATATTTTTCGTGTTGGAGTCTTCTTTGTTTGGTACAATCAGCCCATCCAAATTGCCTAAAATAAAGAGTAATTATAAGTTTTTGTGCAAAAAAATGAGCTGATTCAACGCACCTTCTTTGCATAAATCGCCGTTGAAAACATCTTTTAGATCTTCGAGGGTTGTATTAAAACTGGGAGTGATTAAGTTTAATAAATAAACAAGCACAATCGGAATTAGTCGCATTGTGGTTATAATTCACCGGTTTGCTTCAGTAGTAACAGAAATAAGTAGGTTTGATTATTTTCTCACATCACATTCACATAGCGGCGTGCTTTTTTTATCTTATCTTGTACTTCCCCTGCGAAGTAAATCACTACCAACTACATGAAACATAAAATTACCGAAATTGGACACAATTCATCTTCTCTTCTTCTCTTTAGTTTAATAATGGTTAGATGTGCTGTTTTGGAAGAGGCCGTTACTAAAAGAAGAGAGTAAAATGAGTTGATTAGGAAAAAAAGTATTCTGGGTGATTATTAAATTTGTATCAATTATTGAAAATTATTAATAACAATAATATGACTAATAAATGATAAAAATTTATTAAATTTCAGTTTTTATTCCAGTGCCACCTGTTGATTAGATATCGAAATTTGAAATATGACAGATAGAAAGCGTCATCTATGTCACCTGCTATTTAAAGAATTAAAAATTCTGCAATTTTTGGCTCATTTTTTAAATGAATTTCAATATCCAAGCAACTCAGTTATTAATAAATCACTTTATGAATATTCATTCCATCTAATTCAATAGAACAACCAACCAAATAATCGTTTCTACGAGTCATTTGATCGATACAAGTACATAGAAACGTCGCTAAAAAATCCCTGAAGAGCATCTTGCGGTTCCTAACCTCAAGTTTCATCCAATCATCCAGTTCAAGTAACAAGATGGTGGAAGTGCTATAATAAGAAAACCCGTCGGCTAATCGCAAATACGTCGTATAATGCGTTTTACGCGAAACCTCTAACCGCATAACGATCGCATCGCAACAGCCAGTGCACCGAAAAATCCGATTTAATGCGCTGCAAGACGACCGTCTCGGCATTATCGCAGTGAGATAAGAATCGCCCGTTATCAGCCCCTTATTATTCGCATCTCACACTCCGAACGATGTCGTCGTTGCTCTGCAAGAACTCCGTCGTCAGGATATACCAGGAGGTGATCGACGAGGTGATATCCGGCGTGCGGGAGCACTTCCTCGAGGACGGCATCGACGAGTCCGTCCTGCAGGAGCTGAAGCAAACGTGGGAGACCAAGCTGATGAGCACGAAGGCCGTGCAAGAGGAGCCCGTCGAGAAGAAACGCATCGATCACATCGCCAGCAACGGCTTCCCGAAGCCCCTCAACAATCCCAACGCCCCAGCCAACGCCCCGCCACAGGCCCAGCCGCAATCCGCGCCCGTGCAACCGCCTCTGCAGCACCTCGATAAATTAGTGAGTACCGATCGTTGTATCCGATCGATATCGTATCAATCGAATGGTTTTTTTATTGTAGGTTCCGATTCAAATAACGCTGCCCCCGCAGCCCGGCTCGGACGGCAGCCAGCGCGTCCTCACCATCCAAGTGCCCGGCTCGGCCTTGCAGGGGAACCAGCTGCAGAAGGTGCTTACGGGGCCCGTGATTACGGCGACGATGGGCCTGCCGGCGCACATCGCTTCGTCGCTGTTGCAGCAGCACGTCAACGCCGCTTTGAACAGCCAACAGCAGGGCGCCGCCGTGGCGATTGTGAATAAGAACGTTATACAGACCGACGGGGCACTGGACGGGGGAGAATGTTCGAGGGGAGAGGACCTCGAGAGTGAACGTAGGGTTAGGTGCGATAGGGAATTGGAGGATTTGATCGAAGAGGGTGGTATTAGTATAGAGATTGTTGTGCCTAGGAACAGGAAGAAAGTTAAAGGTGAGATAATCGTTTTTAACGAAAGTATTTAACTACAACAACGAAGAATTTAACGAGTCATTCGTAAAAATAACAAAAATATCATCGAAAATTCCCCCAGTGAGTTAAGAAACCTCAAAAATTAAAGATAAACATAGGTGAGATGTTTATTTTTAAAAAGCATCTTTAACTTCGATGAAATTGATGAGCGAAAGTATTAGAAAACAACAACGAGGAATTTAACAAGTCATTCGTAAAAATAATATCAAAAATTCCCCAGTGAGTTAAGAAACCTCAAAAATTGAAGATAAACATTTTGTTTATGTATAAACGATTTTATGTATTTTTTATCGAAATATTTCATTAAATTTTAACAACAGAAGGTTGTAAAAAATTAACTGTTTACAGATACGAAAAAAAAGATTGTCCAAACCGATGGACCGCACGATACTTCCGATGACGACGATGACGGCTCAGATGATGATAACGACGACGATGATTTAGACGATGAAAAGGATGAGGATGATCAGGAAATGGAAGATGAAGGTAAACAAATTTCGCTTTTGTGCAATTTCGCAATTTTACGTCCGATTAACTCTTTCAGGTGGGGAAGAAGAACCGCTAAATTCAGAAGATGATGTCACAGATGATGATCCAACGGATTTGTTTGATACGGACAATATAGTTGTGTGCCAATATGACAAAATCATAAGGAACCGTAACAGATGGAAATTTTATCTGAAAGATGGCATTATGAATCTCAACGGGGCCGATTTCGTTTTCCAAAAAGCCACCGGCGACGCCGAATGGTAGATATCTTAGTTGTATAGTTTATTGTAATTATTTTGAGTTTTGTTACAGTGAAAAAATAAGCGCATGTAACAGTGTACAGGTTGTTGTTTTAAGATGAATGCACCATACATTAAATTTACTTAATTATTAGCCTACACGAGGAGCTCTGTCTCTCATAACTCTGAACAAAATAGGCATATTATGAATTATTGTAAAAGAAAAATTTACATAGGCGACTTTTTGTCTTCCTTTTGAAGCGAAATGATTGCGACAGGTTTAAGTGCAAATTAGTAATGCAGAAAATGTATAAATATTTGTCAAGTCTGCTGCCTTTCAATAATAAGTCTGGTAGGTAGATGTAGCAAGGTAAATAGCGAATTATTATTATCAGACTGAATTATTAGAGTTGTAATAAATTTCTTAAAATTGTATTCAAGTGCATCTTGTTACATTTATATTTGCATTGCAATATAGTCTGGAAATATCTGTTTAATCTAGTTGGCCGACAAAAACACATAATTTCATCTAATGTTGTTTTGATATATTTTCGCATACTCTAACAGTAATCTTTTGTAAACAAACAATATTTTAATTAACTTGTTTTAAAGATAGCCTGTGAAGTATTGAAAATCGCGTATTTCGCAATTGTTTTTGAATTGCCCATATTTGCGTTTTGGATGAATAACATTTTTTCCGGTATGTTTAATATTGTATAATTGTAATATGAATGAAAACTATAAACCTGCGATAAATATTGTAGAGAAAATGGGGATTTAACTCGATTCGTTAGCTACAAAAAATTTCAGATCGTATTTGTTTAATTGGAGTGTATTCATCTTAATCTGTTTTAGAAATTTCACTAGTTTGATATTATTTTTTTTGAGGTTATTATACTATTATTAAAGTGATTCTTTTTTGTATAAATTAGGGTGATTTCCTTATTGCAATTCCGATATAATGAGTGACCAATTGTGGCTGCGAAAATAGTTCATTAGTAATTTTGATGCCTATAAAAATAATGAAACTTTCTGAATACAAGATACCTAAACATTTTTGAATTACACTGTGATATTTCAAAATTTATTGGAATTTTTGCGTATACAGGTTAGCGTTCTCATTGGATAGTGGAAAAATCGGTCGGAACGATGTAAGTTTAACGATTAAAGGTGAATTATTAAACTTGAAAGATACTTGTTCTATTTATTTTGTATATACACTTAGTTTGTATTTAGTCAAACCTATATTTGTACTTCATTAATTAGTTAAATAAATGAAGAAGCAATGACAAAGTCGTTTTAATTAATTGAGAAACGATCTGAACGTTTTCGTATAATTACAGGTTATTATTAAAATTGTCGATAAAACCTTTGCAATGTAGGATCTGGATCAGTTGGTTTGAATTAAGTCGGGTAAAAAATAAAATGAGGTTTTTCTATTTATAAAAATATTGTAATTAGGTACATTATATTTCTTGGTGTTAGTAAAATATTTTATTAACATAAAAGAGCGCTTATTAATGTAATTACTATTGTTATTATTAATAAAAAATTTAACAATGGTTTACCGTCATTAAAAAAATGTTAATCAAGTTAATGTTAACCCTTAAACAAATGGGTTAGTGGATTGGTGAAAATTTTTCCATTAACCCCAAGGACTCAACAACATTTCGTTATTTTCGTATTTTTGTTATTGTATTAGCTACAATGACGGTTAATTGCAGAACGTAATACTTCGATGTTAAATAGACTATCTTAAATTATGTTAGGAATTCATCGCATTAATCTAATCCGTTACAAAACCCATATTTTTTGAGAACTTCTTCTATATCTTTATAAACTGTTGGATCCACCACTGTTCCGGAAATCTGCAACAAAAGGACATCTCTTAAATGCACTAACAAAGCACCCGGTCTTCCTAAAACATTGTTAATTTACTGCTTAAACTTACCTTCTTCAGTTTATTCCTGGCCAAATCCGATATCGATTTCCGACATATTTTCCCCGACCTCGTCAAAGGCAACCCCCTAACAGCTGCAGCCATTCTAAAAGCAGCCACCGGACCCATATTATCCCTCACCATATTCACCAGGTCCTTGGCCACGATGTAATCGCTCAGTTCAGAATCTACAAGGAACAATTTAAGTACCTGCAGGAGCAAGATTTACTTTCAAAACAGATCATACCATCTTTCATCACGAACAAGCACATGGGCACCTCGCTTTTAATTTCATCTGGCACGGAAATTACGCAAGCCATGGAGACATCCGGATGGGACAAGACGATGTTCTCGAGTGCCAGCGTCGACAGCCGGTGCCCGGCGACGTTGATGACGTCGTCGGCCCTGGCGGTCACGTAAATCAGCCCGTCCTTGTCCACGTAGCCGGCGTCCATTGTGTCGTAGTAACCCTGAAAACCGGCCCTTTTAGGCGAACGAGTTCCGCTGTGGCTTAGAGAAAACTCACCGGAAATTTGGCGAAGTACGTTTTGATGAAGCGCTCCTCCGCCCTGTATAATGTGGACAAAGTGCCCGGCGGCAGCGGCAACTTCACCACTATTCTCCCCAGCTCGTTCACGTCCGCTTCGGTGCCGTCCTTCCTCAGGATTTTCACTGCCAATTCGCCAATTCGTACTCTCATACAACACTACAAAGACCAGCTACTTACCGTTGTATCCAGGAAACGGCAATCCCACGGTTAAATCGGTATCGCTGCAGGGATTCTTCAATCCAGCGCACATTCCTGATATAGCCGATCCTGTTTCGGTTTGCCACCAGTGGTTTATCACTGGCACACCGAACATCCTCTCCGTCCACAACTTGGTGTTCAAATCCAAGTGCTCGCCGGCCAGCCAGATTTGCCTCAAGCTGGACAAATCGTATTCAGTACCGTACTTTCCATCCGGATCGGTTTGCTTCAGTAATCTCATAGCCGTTGGAACCGTGAAGACTCCGTTCACTTTATAATCGCTTATTATCCTTTCAACAACGAACCGAGTGAAATAAAAATCGGTTATAGGTAACAATAACATACCTGTAATAGGAGCTGGGGTCTGGGGTAGTGGTGGGTTTTCCCTCGTACACTATAGTGGTCATACCGAGACATAAAGGACCATAACACATGAAGGAATGACCTACCACCCAACCGAAGTCGCTGGTCGCCCACCAAACATCTTCAGGATTCATCCCGTATAACGTTTTGAGATTGTATATTAGAGTACACAAGTACCCTCCGATAGGTCTGATGATTCCTTTGGGCTCGCCTGGAAACCGCCACCAAAACGTTAATATCCTGAATATCAGCAATTTTTGATCGGTTCTCACCGGTGGTTCCGGAGGTGTAGAGTATGTACAGAGGATCGTTGGCTTCGACCGGTATGCAGGGGGCGCTCTCGGCGTTTTTGATCGATTCCTCCCAGTCCATGTCCCTGGACGGGTCCAATTCGGCGATGTCGACGCCTTTCCTTTGGTAGATGATGCATTTGGATGGCTTGTGGAGCGACAGAGATATGGCTTCGTTCAGTTCGGTGATGTAGCTGCGGGAGAAGCGAGAGTGAATTTGGGGTTTTCGATGCAATTTGGCGGGAATTTTACTGACTTTACCACTCGGCTCGGTTCGATTCCACAGCTCGCTGCTATTATGACTTTCGGCTCGGCGTGTTGGATTCTCTGGCAGAGTTCGCTGGCTGCGAAACCTGCGCAAATTTGGAGTATTTTAATGAAAAAACCGATGAGTTAATTACCAACAAAGTACATTGTGTAAATAACATTATTGAAGGAGGACACGACCCGTCGAATGGAATATTTTATGATAATATAGCGTATTTTTTACCAAACTTGTAATCAATTTTTCAAATACAGATACAAATTAATCGTGGTGGAAGTCCCTTGATATTCTCTACTTTACACATTAATGTAAACACGTGTTATTTGATAGGGAAAATGAAGGTATGTTTTTTAAAGATATACCTTTTTTAACTACACTGTTTATGAATTTATTAAACAGCTGTTATTTAATTACCTCCAAACACTACTGAATGCACAGCTCCTATCCTAGCAACAGCTAACATGGCCATAATAGTCTCAGGTATCAAAGGCATGTATATTATCACTTTATCTCCTTTGCTCACCCCTAATCTTTGTAAAAGTCCTGCTAATTTGGATACCTAAAATTAAAAAAAAATTGGATATCTTCTAATTAATTGTTTAAAATTTATTCGAGCTGAGGATTCCCCTTTATTTACTTTTATATTTTATATAAATTCATTAAAATCTTTGATTGGATTGATTGATGATCCTTGATTTGGACATTGTTGGCATATTCCTAGATAAACAAATAATATTATTTATTTTTTTTTTTTTAGAAAAAAAAACTCAATTTTACCTAAAAAAAATACTAAAAAATATGTACCTTATTAAAGTTGTTGTTTTCAATTAATTAACATATTTTTATTAAACAGATTGACAAGCGCGAGTTACGAAAAAAATTGTTACATTTGATCCTCAACGATCTCTTAAAATTCGCACAATTTCGGAACACCCTGCATAAAATCCTATTATGGTCGAACGCCGTCAAAAAAAAAAATCTTCAATCTCCCCGAATTTCGTCCTCATTTTTATTTAATGCGAGGGACGTTTCCAATTTTCCGACAACGCAACGTTGTAGATTAGATAAAGTTCCGTTTTGTTGTGCATTATTTCGAAATGAACCGGCCGCGTTTAATTCGGCACTCTCCATTGTTTAGAGTAATCGAAAAAATGGCGTTATTGTTCGCTGAGTACAGATCATGGGTCAAATACGGCAATGTAAATATCGAAAAAATAATGCGGGGAATTACGTTTTCGAATATTTCGTCCCAGACATTGCTCTTTGCGGGTCGTATAAATTAAATTCGATTCGGGAATGGGGACAATTGGTGGTGGAAAATAAACCTTTATCACATACTTTTTCTTGCAACTCGAAATAGGTTATTTTTCTGACAATCCCCAACAGGGGGGAGTCGTAGATAAGGGCGACTTTGCCCCCTTTACCGGCCTCCACATGTCGATCTACGGCGTTATAACAGGCGTTTAGTTCTCCTCCCAGGAACCTTAAACACAAACAACAACAAACATTAAACTCAAGATAAAATTAGATCGATTAATTCAGGCCTGGAAATTTTTTATGTGCTTTAATGCTTGCAGTTAAAGAAAACAAACTTACCATTTGGTGAACGGTTCGTAGGTATTGTCCAATACCCTTTTCCAGGATTTACTCCAGGTTATATTCTGGGCGATTTTCGCCCAAAATCGCTCTGGGTGTTGAATCGAGTCCGCGAAAACTGTTTCGTAGCTGGCCAAAGGAAACGGGATCGATGTCCTGCTTACTGGAAGAAAACATAAGCTTTAGGACCACTAATTAATAAGAAATGCAAGGACAAAGAATCGAAAAAGTAGAGGGAAAAATAAAAACATCTACTATCATCGGTTTGGAATTGAGAGAAACTTACTTTTCTTCTTTTTGTCGCCGCGGTGTTTCCTTGTCGACAACATTTTCCTGTTTAGAAACTTTCAGAGGAAAATTAAGAAAATTATTGAACTACTGATGCCTGCACATAACTGTTGCAAATCGACTGTAGTTTAGATCGGAAAACCGATATGATTCGGTATTTACATATGATTTTTATGATATTGTCGATATGATATTTATTAACATACAATTCAAATATGCTAATGTACAAGTCAGACTACAAAGTTCACCCGAAATGTCAATTGGCCTAACATATACGGTGTTTAGTTTTGTTTTATGGAAAACTAACTGTTTTGCCTTTTGTCAGATCCTTTGGTAAAAATAGTTTATGTTATAGATAAAGTCTCTTGTAACTCAAAGCGTTTGTGGTAAGAAATGTAGAAAGAATTTTCCAAATAATTATACAAGAAAATGTAAGAAGAAATACGATTGCGAGTAGCTGTTTTCTTGACATCGACAATTAAAATAATTTTTCCTCGAATTGTTGTTGAATTTTTTTCACGAGCTACATCACAAACAAAAGGCTATTAAAATTTTGCTAAGGTCACTTTTTCGCTGTAATTTAATTTAACAATTTTATGATAGGATTTTAGGCAACAGCATCGAAACTGATATTCAGAAACTATAAAGTTTCACGCAAAGATGAACATTAAATTGTTTATCCGGAAAATTGTCAGGGATAAATTGTATTTTAGGCTCGTTTCGTATTTTTAAAATTATGCAAAATAATTTCACTGACGTATCGAATTTACACATCTAATTGTTGTTAACGAGAATATTAAAACAATGCGTATGTAGACGTTAAATGATACAATAATATGCAACATGATTTTGGTTCGAAATTGCTTATAGGAAAAGAGAAATTTCGATGTTTGAATTTAAAAGGATGATGAATGTTAGATTATTAAAAAAATACTCATCTTTATGACTAAGAATAGAAAGAATTAAAGTCGATAAACCTAAGAAAGATAATAGTTTATTACTCTTGATATTTTATTTATAAATTAAGGTAACATTCTTATTAAAAAACCCCCGAGTATTATGATAATTTATTTTACTTAATTTAATTTAAAAAGTATCAAAAGAAAATTTGCTATAGTAAAGAAATAGTGATAGATAATGAGTATTTCCATTATAATGTTTTTATTCTGCTGAAAATCACCACATTTGTACAAATTTTCACCAATATTAATTAAAAAAATTAAAACACTCTTCGAGTCAACACAAATCAAAAAAAAATCTTAAAGAAAACAATTATTTCCAGGGCAAATTTCGAATATTGCAGTACATACCGACAGTTTGTTCCTCTGGTTTTTTCGTCACCGGAACCATCGTTTATGGCATTTGAGAGTGCGATTTCATTAACGTCTCGATTATCAAAGGAAAGTACGGACGTACAGCTTAGAAAAATAGATTTGCATACAATGTTAAAAAAAAATGAATAATTTGTGGCACGAAAAATGCGAGTGTTAAACGTCTAACGCTGATAGAATCGGGATTATCGATACTCAACTACCAAATTTACCTAATTGCAACTATCAAAATAATCTTGAGGTAGTTACGACATGAATAACGAAGTAAATACAATATGAAAATTTAAATTGGTTCATTTTTTGTTAGCTTAAACTTACGTTTTCTTGGAGGAGATCTGGGAACATCGTCTGAATCAGGCATTTTTCCTTTAAAAAAATTAGTAGGTAATTATTTATTGGTTTCGGATTATCCGAACTAACACAAACTCTAACAACGACTGGCAACTTGCGGGGTACTCAAAGCGTTTTTCAACTCTCCGGAGTTTTTATGCCGGAGCGGTTCCTGTTGTATGCAAATGCATTTTTTTTCTCTACCAATCTAACTAAACATATTTTTTTTTATTTGAATCATTTTAAGTAGGTATCCACTCTTTATAATTATAAGGTAAAAATTAATTAAGGCGTTTTATTGGCCAGTATACGAACTTGTTTTTAATGTACCAAAATTGAATTGTATTTTAATTATTTTACGTGGTGTAAACATTGAAATTGCCGGCTAATTACTTTAATATATTAAATTACTTTACTTGGAGAAATAGGGGTAATCCTTCAGTAGTTTAAATTGTCTTAATTAACGTTTATAATTATCGTTATTAGTGTTAGTTGTTGTTTAATTTGAATAGGTATTTTTTGGGAAATGATTGCTTCCGTACGGTGAGTTTCCTTCATGAGATTGATTAAGACTTCCCGACCCCCTTTATAAATATTTAATAGGTATCAGTGTGGAAAAAGTGTTTTCATGTAGATAAAGAGGATCCCGCACGCGATTTACTCGTTGAATTGAATTTCATTACGAATCTTTTTTTTTCTTCTTTTGCTTTCGCTTCTTAACGTATTTCCAATAAGCGGTTTTCAGTAACAGACACTTTGTTGGCTTTTTTCGGCCCGCGCGAATTAAATCCGTCGTTGAATAAATCGAATTATTTCTAATGCGAACTAATTGTATAATGAACGAATGATTCGGATTTGCATTGAATTTTCGGGTTCACGGCCAGGTTTACAAAATGTGTAGTATGTATTTTGGGAGTTGGCGATTACGACCTTTATTGTATCAAAAATTCTAGAAGGAACTTGAATGGATATCGCCCATATTAATATAACATCATGGCCGTGGAACAAAATGAACTCAAAAAAGTCAACAAAGCATTTTTAAACATTGTTAGAATTACATAAAATCAAAACAATGTCAAGGTTGTTCCAGAAGTTTTTCCAAAATGCTTCCATTATACATTTACCTTAGCTATAATTCTGTTTACAAGTTGAATTCAAACCTTTTGTTTCGCCACATTTGGAGGAAGAAAATGTTTAAATGCCTATACCAGTCTTGCCATTAAAATTGCGGCTTCAGATAGTATATAAAAATAATTTAGGTGGCCCGGAGTGAGAACATTCTGTGCCATAAAATTTTAAGTATCTAATGAAAAGTTTCATTGGTTCATAAAGCCGAAAAATATGGCCTTTTTAAAAATTTTATTCGCACGCTGGCCATGATTCGGAAATTTCGACTCTCTGTTCGATGTTCTTAAAAAGCTGCTTGCTTATTAATTGCATTTATTTTACAAATTAAATAACATTTAACATGTAAACTAATTTACTATGTAATGAATCCAATAGGTCGATTATTAATAGTCGATTAAATCATCATTTAATTTATTAAAAATCGATTAATTTCAGTCATGAAAGTTATTTTATATAACTCGTTAAATAAACGAGAGAACGAAAAATTTTATTCTATACAAAAAAAAAATCTAATCACACTACAGCTCAACCAATAAAACCAACGCCGAAATCCGGTATATAAACTAAACAACTCCGAACAATACCAGCGAGATATTCTTATTTTCTTTCATTATTCATCATTTTGTCTCTCCACACTTCCGACCCAAACTGATTACTCCTTTCCCATGCATCTCCTTTTCTGCATGCATCAAGTGAATTCCCTTCCATTAAACGCCCCCGAATGCTTCATTTTTCCGATTATAATATTCGAGTGTAATCATGTAGATTAAGGAAAGTTGTTTGCTCAGAACGACCGAAGAGGAGCCCGGAGGAGACCGGAGGAATCGACATCGAAATATTGATGTTGCTACTCGCGGAGGGCTCGTGAATTATGCGAAACACATCAAAAGACCGATGAACGAAATACTAAACAGATACTTAGCGGTAGCGCGAACGACGCCTGATTTATTAGGAGTAGGTTTCGGAGGTTTCGAATTTTCTAAAGATTTTAATAGACCTGTTTGTGGATCAATAAACGGTTTGGCTGCCGGATTATAAATAGGAGCGGTTTTTGGTGGAATTGGGGAGCGATGAATTCCGAATGTTTTCGTCATTCCGAAGGGATTGATATAAATTTAAACTACTGCTTATCTAAATTGTTGATTAATTAATGACACACCAGAAATACCAGATTAATCATTGAAATAACTAAATATTGAGCTATAATGGACAAAAGAATAGTGCACATTTGAAATATAAGACATTTAACATGCTTATTGAAAGTGCTAAAATGTACAATATACTCCTGAAGTAGATTGTAATGACCAAAGTTCTTTGATACTTAATTGACAACTTCATATAAAAGTTAGTATTAAAAAGGGGTCTTTTTTAACGATTCTTTAACTTAAAAAGTCAGTAATTTTACATTTGTGGTTATGGATTAACAAAGTTCAACAAGATATGTAAAGGATCTTCGTTTTAATAAAGGATCTAATTAAGAACCAATAAATATCTTGTTATTACCATTGTGTCCATGAGTTATATAGATAAAATATTTACAACTTTTCTCATATTATCAGTAAAACTAAATTATTTTGTAAAAACTAAACATCTAAATCTCTAACAATTCATTAAATCCGAATGCTATACGATCATATGTGTCTGTTATTGCACTCTATATCCATATTAAATTGTATAGTTTAACACATTTATTAATTTTATTTGCTCAACGGACGATTCGCGAGAATAATTTCCAAAAACTAACCCCTACAAATCCCAAACTTATACCATCGTATGCTTCAATTTTTCATTAAAAAAAAACACCAAGAATCTGATCATATGTGTCTGTTATTGCACTCTATATCCATATTAAATTGTATAGTTTAGCACATTTATTAATTTTATTTGCATAACGGACGATTCGCGAGAATAATTTCCAAAAACTAACCCCTACAAATCCCAAACTTATACCATCGTATGCTTCAATTTTTCATTAAAAAAAACACCTAGAATCTGATCATATGTGTCTGTTATTGCACTCTATATCCATATTAAATTGTATAGTTTAGCACATTTATTAATTTTATTTGCTCAACGGACGATTCGCGAGAATAATTTCCAAAAACTAACCCCTACAAATCCCAAACTTATACCATAGTATGCTTCAATTTTTCGTTAGAAAAAAAAACACCAAGAATCTGATAATATGTGTCTGTTATTGCACTCTATATCCATATTAAATTGTATAGTTTAGCACATTTATTAATTTTATTTGCTCAACGGACGATTCGCGAGAATAATTTCCAAAAACTAACCCCTACAAAATCCCAAACTTATACCATAGTATGCTTCAATTTTTCATTAGAAAAAAAAAAACACCAAGAATCTGATAATATGTGTCTGTTATTGCACTCTATATCCATATTAAATTGTATAGTTTAGCACATTTATTAATTTTATTTGCATAACGGACGATTCGCGAGAATAATTTCCAGAAACTAACCCCTACAAATCCCAAACTTACACCATCGTATGCTTCAATTTTTCATTAAAAAAAAAACACCAAGAATCTGATCATATATATCTGTTATTGCACTCTATATCCATATTAAATTGTATAGTTTAGCACATTTAATAATTTTATTTGCATAACGGACGATTCGCGAGAATAATTTCCAAAAACTAACCCCTACAAAATCCCAAACTTCTACCATCGTATGCTTCAATTTTTCATTAAAAAAAAACACCAAGAATCTGATCATATGTGTCTGTTATTGCACTCTATATCCATATTAAATTGTATAGTTTAGCACATTTATTAATTTTATTTGCATAACGGACGATTCGCGAGAATAATTTCCAAAAACTAACCCCTACAAATCCCAAACTTATACCATCGTATGCTTCAATTTTTCATTAGAAAAAAAAAACACCAAGAATCTGATCATATGTGTCTGTTATTGCACTCTATATCCATATTAAATTGTATAGTTTAGCACATTTATTAATTTTATTTGCATAACGGACGATTCGCGAGAATAATTTCCAAAAACTAACCCCTACAAATCCCAAACTTCTACCATAGTATGCTTCAATTTTTCATTAAAAAAAACACCAAGAATCGTCAGTCATCGGCCCAGACCGCAAGTTCCGTCCGACGTTCGCAGAGCGAAAACACAGTAAGGGTAGTTTCGACAGAGAGAGAGAGAGACCCCGTTTAGGGCGAACATTAGCAAAGAAGGGACGAACATAAACCATAGCGATGAAGCAACGACGGGCGTCCCCGTCGCTTTCGATTTTTCCCCCCTTATCGTGCACGCGATGCGGACGCCGAACGCCTGTGCCCGATTGCATCGCGCCCGTTTCGCTTCTGCCCGGGCCTCGCAAGACCGTATTCTCCGTCGAATTCCGAGCTTTTTGGGCGATTTCGATAAATATTTCCCTGTCGGTCCGTCGTGCAAAGGCTGCGGGGCTCCTGAAGGGGCGGCGAGTGCTCGGAGCGGCGGCGAAAGGGCTCCTCTGGGCTCGGTTCTGGTTCCGTTTCGGCGGGGTTTGGTTTTTTTTCTCGGTCGCTTTCTTGCATTGACTGGCTCGAGTCGAGGAGACGATTTCGCGAGGGATATATGCGAGTTAAGTACTAGTTAAAGTGCATCGGTTGTTTACGTTATGGATAAAAGGAGGTGCAGGTCCGGGCACGATGGGAATCCAACCATTTTGGTGAAGGCGGGTTAAATTGGTGAGCTTTGAATTCGGTATTTGTGCGATTCTGTCGAGCTTTTCTCGTATAAGTGTCGAGTTAAATTATCTCTTTGTATGGTTGATCGATAACTTGAATCATATGGTCTTTATTGTGCAAATGTAGCTGGTTTGTTTTGTAGTACGATTTATATAGAACAGATAATCGTTTATCAATACGAGATTATCTATAATTTAAGTACAAATTGACGGGAATTGTGTTTTTTTTTTTCGGAAATTGTAAGCTTCCTAGAACTCTTTCTTTCAAGAAAGTGTCATTTCCCTGACTAGTCCGGAAACTAACCATTTCCAGTAAACTTACCAGTCCTGACAATATTACAAGCTTTTCTCATAGTAATTCCATACTAAAATTACTTCTCTTATAAGTTTTTAATCAGAAAGCTTCGTTATCCTAACCAAATATTAATTATTCAAATTACACGACTGTTTTAAACAATTCATATTAAATACATATTTACTAATTACCCAACTAATAAATTAAAAGTGTTTCCATGTTTGTTGCACCTTTTTTTAACGGTTAAAAAGTAAAAAATACAGAATAAACAATTATAATGTATGTTTGCACACGAAATTGCGAAGTTTTCGTCGACAAAATATTTACCCAGCGCTTGCAGTGGAGTACACTGTACCGAAACTGGCAATAAAAGCAGGAGAAAGCACGAAGGCAATAATCGAATTGCAGTTGATGAAGCTGCATTCAATGCAAAATGGAACGGCGGACTTCAAAAACTGGTGTAGATACTGAATTAATCAGCGTTTACCGGGGCTAATGCGAGCTGGAATTAGAGAATTAATTGCAATAAGATTATCAATAAATTCGTTTCTGCGGGATTAGGTTTGTGTTCAATAATCGGTTTGTTAATTAGCGCAGTAATCCACCGAAATGAACTCGACTTCCAATACCAGCACGCGCCGTTTGTTCCTTTAGATAATCTAACTGTAATTGATGCACAATCGTCACTTTAATTGCAATTGCAACAATCTCCCTCTTGCTTCGCCAGCTCGAATTTAAGCTATTATATATCAAATAATCAATACTCTAATAAAAATAGTATATCGTGAGAAACTCAACAAGTAAATACATTGCATTAATTACAATGTTCCCGTAAGAACGGAAAGAAAACCTAACAGATGGTTACTAGTTTTAATTGCCGTTAAAATAATGAAGGTAAATTGCGCAAAAATCTCCTCAAAGGATTTTTCCCAGCGAATAAACATTTACCCTGTGACGTGCGAAGGAGAGTCGGAACGCTCAGCTGCAGAAACGGCAATTAAGATTTTATGATCCATTAAATTTAACGCGAAGTTCTTGTAATTGTCACAATCTAATTGTTCCATTATATTTAGTATACTGTTTAAATTATGAGCCGGCTATTTTGCGATTTCTTTGTAAATCTCGCCGAACGCCGGCTCGTTCGAGCGTACAACCCCCGAGTTTTGTTATAAATAATTCTGCAAGGAGCACTTCTTGGGATCAATTAGCGAATTCATATAAAAATGAGGTAAAAATAGCGCTTTTTTTAATATTTTTACAGTGTCAATTACTATTATATGAGTGGAATGGGCGATGCATTAATTGGAAGTTTCTTGTGTTAATTTATATCTCTTGGTTATAAATATTTTTATATTCGTTATACAGCTCTGGTTTTTTACTGTGTGTTTAAAATAAGCGGTAGTTGTGGTCGAAGGGGAATGTGGGTTGTCACCACTCTAAAAATAAACCTAATATAGAACAGTTTTTATTAGCTTTTGAACTGAATAAAATTACCTACTCCGGAATAAAACTTGTTGGAACGACAAGCGAAAACCATTAAACCCTCAATGTGGTAATTGATATTGTATTTATTTCTATAAGGACGCAGTCAATGTACTCGAAGAGTATCGATTGTAATAAAACACTTTATTAGTTACTACTTTGGAAATGAAAAAGTTATAAATGAGGTGTTTATTTCCTACAAATATTGTTCTATAAAAGAGCTGCAATATCGATTTACTTGGTGTTGTAGCTTCTTCTGTAATTCCTTCTCTTCGATTTTCACCAAGAATTATTGTTTCGAATTTACATGATGCTTAAGGAACACCCAGTGTCTCTTTGCATAAGAGCCCTAAGCGACATTTCTACATCATTTGAGGAATATATAATGGACAAAATGAATTTCAATAGGGCGTAGGAACGTAGGATTTAGGTGAGGCTAACCTAAACTCTAGCACCGAAGCGCTCTATGTGCTTTGACTGGAAAAGCTTTTAGCCACTTCAATGGATACTTTTTATTAATATCCGTTAATATCTCCCGGGCTCAAACAAGGGAAACTACAATTCTCACGTATAAGGCAGTCGAGTATTACTCTGGATTGTATTTTCGAATTATATTTTTCTCTACAGCAAATAGTCTGCATGACCTTCTATGAATGAAATAGTCGTAAAATTTTTAACAATAACAAATTACAAGGAAAATAAATTTGATAACATCCTCTGTTGATACTTATTTTGCTAATAAAATATAGCTTGTTTATTGTAAATTGTATTAAAATATGCCTATTTCATCCAGCAACATCCGGACAAAGCGAGCAAAACTCTTCCTAAATCAGCACTGACTTAATCTTGACAATCATAGAAGTACAATTTAATCAAGATTTTTAAAAAATTCCGAAAATTCGGCGAAAATTCCGCCAGCGTTAGCGGAAAAAACAGCGCAACCAGCGTTTCGAAAAATAAAACGCTGCGTTTTCGCTACTATCGCGAAACTACCGCTGCGGTTCCGCTGCGGAATCGCAGCGGCAGCGAAAATTTCGCCTTGGTCTTACGGGATCCTTTAATCTCCTGCATTTCAACAACGCGAATCCGGCATCGCCTCGAACTTACAACAGCGAAAATCCTCCGACGCGACTTCCCGACGTCCTAATTGCACCGATGAGAAGAACGAAACGACACCTCGTCGCCGGGCGGGGATCGAAAGTTTCACTTACTTGGGAGTTTCGGAGGTGCCTCGTCGAGGAAAGCGCGAAGACGTGACTCGACGAGGAACTGACTATTTGACCCGCTGAGGATAATATCTCTCGCGAGCTGTACCTAAGTACATATACACAATGGCTAATTTCCTCTGGAAAAGTTACTGTGGAGGAATTTCGGACGCGGTGCCGATGCCGGTTAAATGTTGAAGTGGAATTAACAAACAATGAATCGTTTGTTGTAATGTGCATTGGTTTAAATTGTGTATACATTTTGTTTAAAGAGTCCCATTGATAATAAAGCGAAATAGGCAAGAGGGCGATGTGAAATCGGACTTAATTTTATTCGAAGAGCTTCAATATTTTTGGGAACTTTACTAGAAAAACTTAAATATTAGGCATTTCTCAATAAAAGTTATCTAGTAATTTATATTAGAAGTCACCCAGTATTTTTAATTTGTCATTCATTGTTGTCTATACCTACAAATCACGTTGTTACATTTCATTGTTACAATTTTTTAAAGAAGGTAAATTGCACATGGCAACGTAATATTTTAAATTCAAAAGTAGAGAACAATGTCATGAATTTAGTACTCAATACTTATGATATTAATCCATTTACATTAAATAAAATTGACTTAATTTTAGATATTTAAAAAACTACTTACAAAGGTATTTTGTATGTAACCAAATATAAGATTTATTAAAAACGATATAAAAAACTTGTAAAAATACTAAAAGGTAATAGCAATTATGTTTTAAAGTAATCATAAACGTACATACAAATGTACTTTTTTCCTCATGAACTTACCCATTGTTCTCTCCGGTTCCGTTTATGTCCATTTAAAAATTTAACGAAATTCTCATTATTATTTTAATTGCCCGAAAAATTGGTCGCATAAAAAGCCATAATAAATTTGCAGCACTATTATTCAACAATTAATTTAATTTGTTTTGATTAGAAAATAATGGAAGGCTGTTAATTTTGTTTTTTTAATTAGACTTCCCGAAAATATTATCCCACAACATAATCTAGATATTTCGATCCGATCCTCAAGGTAACCTAGAAAGTGCGGAAGGTTAGTACCTGGATACTAATTATGTTCATACATTGCATACAATGGTAGGTAATTTAACTTTAAAAGTACCACTTTATTCTAATAAATAGTATCTAATGTTTTATCCACTATATTAATTTTCATTTTAAGAGATTAGACACAACTCTTGTAGGTCTAGAATAGAATCTCTCGTCGATTGAGTTAGTATTTAAAGCAACTCATTATTCTCTCCTGGAACTTCTGTACTTTTATGGCTACGTGAAAACCATTTTTCCTGCGAGGATATACGCATTAAAATGTAATAAACTCCCCGTCGGCTGCCTGAAAGAAAAAAATAAAACCGAAACAGAATGCAGTTTCGCCTCAGTTCGGCGTATGATTAATGGGCCGGTAATTTATGAAACTCGCAGTTAAGTACCCCGAAAGAATGAAACAAACATTGGCGAGTTGCCAATGCGGAGAAATAGGCATACAGGAGGACATTCCACGACGCACCACCCACGAAAAATCGCATTAACTTTGCATTTATTTCCATTTTACGCGCGTAATAAAAGCGCTTTTCGGACCAGCAGATCGATGTGGGTCAGTGGTATTATCGAATTTTCATTCGAAACCTATCCAAATACATTTAGTTATTTATAGATTTTTCACTCTTTTCTGCACGTCGAATTCGAATCCGAAAAGGATGCGGAGGAGGACCTTAAATTTCCAAAAATACGCTCTAAAAGATATTCAATCAATAGATCTAGTCTCTAAACCAATCAGCTATGTAAATGTAAATAGTTGTTAATAGTTTTATTTAGGGGTTCGTGCATTAATTCATCTATTTTTAGGGTTATTATTCATTAATAGGGGGTTATATACTCTTAATAAGTGACTCCCTTATGCAGATAAGTGATTTCAATCTCCAATAACATTCGCGTTTAATCCAACGAATTTTCGCGAGTTCCATTACGCGTTTATTTTGTACTTT